CCTTCCCGCCTCCACCACCAACCCCGCTCCTCCCCTCGACACACAGCTACGGCATCAAGATGTTCATGGCCGACATGATCGAACAGGAGGCGCTCCAGGCCGTGGTGATGGAGAAGCTCGCGGGCAAGGTTGGTCTGGATGGCGCAGGCCTCGACCAGTGGCTCGACATGCCGGCGGTCGTTTGAGACATGGGATCTACTCGAGTAAGTAGCAGCGCGCTCTGTCCAGGTAGGGAAGGCTGCTGCTTGTACGATGTCTTCCATTTTACGTAGGTCGTAGCAAGAGTAGGGCATATTAAGATGGTCGAGCAAAGCAAGCTGCAAGGTCATTCCGGCCTTTCCCTTTCGCAGGAATCTCGTAAAATAGTAATAGAGAGCAGTCACACCTCCACGCGTAGCGAGATGGGCGACGCACGAACACAGTGCGCACCCCGCCCCGCTCGCAGGCGGGAGATTTTTAAAGACCAACAAGAAATCACGACTCTCACAGTGATTTGGGCTCGGCAGCTTGTCAGCCCTCAGCCGAAGCTGGGGCCGGTCCCGTAGCCGAGAGAGCCCGCGCCGATGAGTTCGACGCGGTCGGGGGGGGCTGCGAAGAGGCCAGCGAGATGGCGATCGCTCTCTTCTCGCAGGCGGTGCATCGCACAGGACACAGCTCACAGGTGGACTGTGATCTGTGTGACTCCTCGGATTTCTGGCATCTGGGGGCAGAAAAGAAAGAAAGTAAAGAGATAACCCAAACGAGGGAGATAGGGGAGGAGGACAGGGTCCCCACCTGCACGAGCAGGATTTTGGAAGGACGATCAGGGGGACAGGTGGGGCTCTCCTGCTCCTGACAAGGGACACGACAGGCTCGCAGCGCGGTGCACGGTGGACTCCCACATCCACTGGCGGTCTCATCTCAGTCTTGCTACAAGCCTCCAGAATCGCCCCGTAAAAAGAAAAAATCGTGCCGCGCCGCGGAAGTCACTCTGAGCGCCTGCCCCGGCTTGGACCCCTCGCTCTCGGGATGCCCATCGACCAGGCGGTGATCGAGAAGCTGGCCAAGTACGTGGCGCAGGCGAACGACCAGATGGAGGCCGCCGTGCGCGAGCGCCAGCGCGGCAACCCTCAGTTCGCCTTCCTGTTCGGTGGCGAGGGCGCCAAGTACTACCGAGAGTGCCTCCAGCGGTTCAGAATGGAAGCGGCGGGGAGCGGCGCGGGCGACAAGCCGCCCCCGGAGAAGAGCTCGCTCGGTGGTGGCGGCTGGGGACCGCCGTCAGGGCACGCGTCGAACGGCGCATCAGGTCGTGCCGCGCCGGGAGGCGCTCACCCCTCGGATGGCCATGCCCG